TGTATAGGCAGCGTTTAGTCAATTTTAGAAGACTAGGATACAAGAAAATCTAAGTTGTAGGGTTTCTGCATAAGTACGTGGGAATCCTATTAAAGGACAGAAAAACACTGAAAAATATTATTATCGATGTCTAAATTTAAGCAGAATCTAATTATAAGAAATAGGGCTAGAAGCTTTACTTACTAGTTTCCCAAATCAGACTTCATTGTAAATGAACTTTTAAATAAGAAAAAGGGCCTTATAAAACAAAACCACTTCTCTTTCTAATTTGAATTTGAATAAAAAGCTTATTTTAAATCTCTTCAGTCCACCTAAATATTTTTTGGATTACGACAAATCACACATGCATTTTTGTTTGAGACATAACTACTACCGGAGAAGATTTACATGAAATTGCGCGGTGACCCGCGTCGCCGCGCGAAATTTTCTAGGCCGAGTTTTGTGGCGCAGCTTATCTTCTTCGAAGCGAGCTTGCAATTTTCCTGTCTGCTATCTGTTGTTCTGCTAGTTTTGGTCTGATTGCCTATTAAACTCCCATCTAAGGCAGTTTATTTCAAGTATATGTTGAAATCCTATAGTTTATGAGTAGATAATGATATCCTTTATAGGAAGAATCACTATGTCTGAAAAGTCAAATAGTGATTCTGGTGCACCACCAGCCAAGAAAATGTTTGCTTTTCGACAGTCAGCATTATCCGCGAAGGCCGATCAGCTGTGGAATCAGAGTAAGTTAAATTGCATGCTTTTGATAGGTGTCTTAGAAAAAAGTTTACCTCAACCAAACCCTAAATTTCGCTAATCTCATGTAATTCCTTACCTTAGAACTTCTTATAAGTTCTATTGTTTGATATGGTATCTAGACGACTCGGTGAAGGTATTTACATGTTGTTGCAAATTGGGTCAATGTCTTTCGAAGCTTCTTGCTGAAGAGTTACAATTTGGTGACAGCAAGAATCACTACTAGCACTGGCCTATATTGCGAGAGGTTTCTTTTATTTGTTTTTGATATTACCTAGGCGCTTGTATGTTTTTAAGTAAGATCGTTTAGAACAAGGATGCAATAAGGTTTTTGAAAAACAAACTTTTATTATTGTTAATTGTTTTATTTGCATGTGAAAAGCAAGCGTAAAATTATCCTTACTCAACTTTAGCTATTAAAAACAGTTGCGAGTTTGAATAACAAACGATTCCTGTATCTTTGAAAATTAAGAGGGAATCAAAGAATTCCTGATTGCTCTTCGTCGCTCGATACTGACTAAGTATCTCTAATTTCAAAAGTGTTTGTTTAAAAACAAAATTATCTTCCAGGAAAAACCGGCTCTGGTTTTGGTGTTACTCCGTCTGCACATGTGCAGTTGGAAAAGAAATCATTAGACGATGTGCTTGGACGAATGGCTGCTGAAAAGAAGCAACGAGAAGAACGAGAAGGAAAAGGGCAGCCTTTATTTGTATTTGGATCGAAGATATCAGATCGGGTTGTTAAAGTAAATAGATTTTGACGTTTGTTCATTCCAATATTAAGGTTCCGCCTTCAGGAGAATCCAACAGCATCGTCGAATGGGAAAGCATCTGATGGAGAATCAGAGGAGTCTAAGCGCAAAACTGCAGCAGAACTTTTCAAAAATGCTGCGCAGCAAGATTATCCGGTATGGAAACATCAACCTTATTTCTTGTTTTTATCCGTTAGTTTTTTT